ATGTCTACGATTGCGCGGGTTTAAAAAGGTACAAGGAGGTGGATGGATTTAAAAACCTTGTTCCTCGTATTGTCAAGGCAGTTCAGCCAGCAATATACCAGAAGGATTTCACTGTCGATCCGTATACCGTTACATATGTCCCGATGCCGAAGCTAAATATAAGTGCTTGTGATTGTGGTGTGTTCACGGTGAAGTTCATAGAGTGTATTGCGCTTGGACTGGATTTGTCATTAGTGAACGATGAAAACATCAAGGAAGCTCGCCTTAGGATTTTGTGGGATCTTTGGGAAGCAGCTAATGACCCTGAATTGGTTGAGAAGATGGCATTGTATAAACCTCCAGAATGTTTGTCTTCGACTATCACAGAGATTCTGTGATGAATCTAGTTTTAATTTACTTTCTAGTTGTTAAGGATTCTGATTTCTGATGTAAGGAACAGCTATGGTTTTTAAGGATTGCTGATGTCTGATTCTGGTTATTAAAGGAACATATATTTATGTTTTTACCCTTTACGAAACCCTAAACACACCCTAAATGAAACCATAAACACACCCTAAACGAAACCCTAAACACACCCTAAATGAAACCATAAACACAGCCTAAACGAAACCCTAAACACACCGTAAATGAAACCATAAACACACCCTAAACGAAACCCTAAACGAAACCCTAAACATACTCTAAACGGAACCATAACTCTAAATGATAACATGAGGTAAAATAATGAATATACATGTGTGTGGGTGTTCTTAGATTAGATTATATCAGTCATATGTTCGAAAATCTATTCAATTTGTGTTCTTAAAATCATACCTTAGAGTACTCTTACTAAACTTTTCGAATACCTTAAGAGTACTCTTACCAACCTAAGAACTAAACCCGACATAGGATCCAACAGCCAACGAAACCCACCCAAACTAGATCCACAAGTGACCTAATACAACCCGACATATATAACCATCAAACCCGTTTTTTTTCCTTTTTTTTCTTCTAATCTTCTTTCTGCCTCTTTTTCTTTCTGAAACCGTCTTTTTCCAATCATGAGCAACGCAAGGCGATTCTCGCAGGGAGTGCCGTCAAGATGCTGGTGTGGGAGAGGGGTTGTGATATTCTATTCCAGAACGGATGAGAATCCGTTCCGGCGGTTCTATAGATGCGAAATAGGAGCACAGGTTTCGTTTCAAATTGTTTTTTTTATTCAAATCCCCATTTATACTGTCTTCATATCCTCTATTGTCTTGTGTATGATTTTGATGTATGTTTGATGTTTTTCGGGAAAAATTGGGATATGATTTTCGATCTTATGCACTGAAATTCATTCTGATGTACTAACTTGAACTTTGTTTGAATGTAGCGGAAGAAGGAAAATCATTTATTTAAGTGGGTTGATGAAGCTTTGCTTGATGAGATTCGAAGGCTAGATGCTCAGCAATTGGAAATTACACAAGAGATTGAAGATCTCAAAAAGAGTTTGCAAAGTACAGTTGAAAAAGAAGTTAAGAAGCAGAAGAATTCACTTGAGTTAGGTTGTTTAGGAAGCATTTTATGGCTGTTTGGTAGATTGGGATGCCAGGAATGAATCAGTCTATTGTTTCTCTAAACGAATTTGTGTTTTCTTCTCACACTTAATATGATGAT